TTTGGTGGGCTACGGGCAACCTCTGACCATGGATGATGGGACAAGGGCTGGCAGGAGGCGGGGGTGGTCCAGGTAAGGCACAAAGCTAACTAGAGCAGGGTATTCCTCAATCCTTCTGAGTAAAAAGAAGTGTACTGTATCTGGATTGCCAATACTTAGAGACTAACCAAATAATTGTGGAGCCCTAATTTTGTTGTGATTTTAAGACTTTGTTCATAAACTCCAATTATGGAGTGGCCCTCTGAGGTGGACTGATGGTTTATTTTAAATGACATGTTCTAAATTTGATCTGACATCAGCTTTTATGTCAGTTATCTCATTTTGAAAATTACAAATATGGTGGCGGTGGCGATGAGTCCATCAGTTGTTATCCTGTGGTACCTAGAATAATGCCCTACACACAGCAAAGCCTCCATAAGTACTTTCTGAGTGAACGAATGAATCCTGCTCCAACATTATCAACTTGTAAATCACATTGATGTTCCTTCCTTCTTTCGTTCGGCAAATACTTAGTGATTGCCTGTTAGTGCCAGATGCTGTTCTGGGCGCCAAGAATACAGCAGCAAACAAGACAGACAGAAATTCCTGCCCTCGAGTTTACATTCTTTTGGGAGAGGCAGAAAATAATCAAGATGATTAAGTAAAATGCATAGAGCATGACATATCATCATTATATATTATAGATTACCTGTTATATTTTTATATTATTATTATTTCCTGTTATATATTTAGATGGTGATCATTTCTAAGGAGAAAATTGTAGCCTGGAAGGGAGAAAGTGGCCGTGGGGGTTAGCTGCAGAGCAAGGGGCTTGTTAATTTTAGAAGGAGTGGCCAGAGGAATCTTCATTGAGAAGGTGCATTTTGAGTTGAGGTCTGAAGAAGGCAAGGGAGTGAGCCAGGCGGATATAGGAGGGAAGCGTGGTTCTGGCAGAAGGAAGAGCCTATCAAAAAAAACACACACAAAAAGGCTTAAGATGGGAGTGTGCTTGGTGAATTTCAAGCAGAAAGACATCAGTGTGGCTAGAAGGGAGCAAGGAGGAGAAAGGCAGGAAAGGAGGTCAGAGAGGTACAGGCTGGGGATGCCTCATACAGGACATTTTAGGCTACTGGTTTCACTCTGAGGAGATTGGGAGCCATGGAAGTTTCTAAGCAGAGACAGGACACGATTTTAACAAGATGCTTCTGGTTGACCTGTTGCAATAGCAGGAGGGGGAGGGGGGCTGGGCCAAAGCAGGGAGACCATTAATGGGCTGTTGCAATAATCCAAGTAAGAGGTGATGACAGCAGTAGACATGGTGAGAAGTGGTCATTTTTTGGATATCTCTTTTTTTATATCTAAAAAAAATTTTTTTATTATGAAAAATTTCAAATACACAAATTAGAGAGGATGTGGAATGAATCCCCATGTACCCATCAGCCAGCTTCAACAATCTGCACCTGGCAAATGTTATTTTATCTATAAATACACTCTACCCAATGCACTGGATTAGTTTAATGAAAATCCCAGATATATAATATCAGTTGTAAATATTTCAAGATGTATCTCTAAAAGATAAGAACTTTAAAAAAATATTAATAGGGCCGGTTCGGATCCCGGGTGCAGACACGGCACCGCTTGGCAAAAGCCATGCTGTGGTAGGCGTCCCACATATAAAGTAGAGGAAGATGGGCATGGATGTTAGCTCAGGGCCAGTCTTCCTCAACAAAAAGAGGAGGATTGACAGCAGTTAGCTCAGGGCTAATCTTCCTCAAAAAAAATAAATAAATAAAATAAAATAATTTTAAAAATATTAATATAATAAAAGAATCACAATTAAAACATTAATATATAAATAACCAGTCCATATTTTATATATTTTTATATATATATATTTACATATTTTACAATTGATTTGTTCAAATCAGGACCCAGAGTCCACATATTGTATGGTACTAAAACATATACAACATGAGAAACTTACCATTTTGAACATTTTTAAGTGTACAGTTCAGTGGCATTCAGTACATTCACATTGTTGTGCAACCATCACCACCATCCATCTGCAGAATTTTTGCATCTTTCCAAACTGAAACTCTGCACTCATTAAACAAGAACTCCCCATTCCCCCTCTCTCCCCAGCAAGCACCATTCTACCTTCTGTCTCTATGGATTTGCCTACTCTGGGTACCTCGTATATCCTGTCTCTTTGATTGATAAGCTCCTATGCCCTCTTTTTCTTCCCTTCTTTGCTATTATTTGTTGATGAAATCGGCACATTCTGGATTTTGCTGATTACATCCCTATGGTATTGTTTAACTTGTTCCTTTATCCTCTGTTTTCTATAAACTGGTAGTTAGAGGGACTTTGTTTGTTTGTTTTTAAATATGGTTTGAAGGTAGAGTGGATAGGATTTGCTGGCAAGTTGAATGTGGGATATGAGAGAGAAGAGTCAAGAATGACTGTGATGTTTCTGGCCTGAGCAACTGGAAGAATGGAGCTGCCATTTTCTGAGACGGGGAAGACCGAGGGAGGTGCAGGTTTGGGGAGGGGACAGTGTTTGAACACTTTTGGTTTGAGACATTTATTAGAAACTCAAGTGGAGGTGCTGGGCAGCCAATCAGATCTGTGAGCCTGGCATTCATGGAAGTGGTTGGGGCAGGAGATATAAATTTGGAAGTTGTCAGTGGATAGATGGCATTTAAAGCTTTAAGACTGGATGAGATCACCAAGGAAGCAAATGCAGATTAAGACTGAGAGAGAGAGAGAAAGTTTAAGGACTGAGCCTTGGGGCACTTCAATATTGAGTGCTCGGGAGACTGGGGAGGAACCAGCAAAGGAGATTAAGAAGAGGCAGTCAGCAAAATAGGAGGAAATTTAGGAGGGTGTGGTACCCTGGAAGCCAATTGTCCCAAGGAGGAGAGAATGAAAAATGGGTCAAATGCTAGGGACACGTCAAGTGACGAGGACTGAGAATCGATTATTATTTAGTAGAATAGAGATGTTCTCTCTTTTGATGCTCTTTAAATTAATCGTGTATAATTAAATTAAAACTCAAAACATTTCCCAAGGAAGAGTCCTTTCATGGACAGGGATTAGTGGACTGGAATATCACAGCGAGGAGAGAGGTGAGTGAGTGGTTAAGAGCAGAGATCCAGGAGGCTGCGCATCAGCCTATGTGAACCCAGTCAATTAGCACACAAAGTGTCAGCACTCCACCTGTAAAATAGGACAAGAATGGTCCGTACCGCATAGAGCTCTTGTGGCTCATGAGATGATATGAGTAACATACTTAAGCAGGATATCTTAGTCATCTTAAGTGCCCAATGAATTGTTGGTATATAATAGGATGACTCAGGTCAGCACCTGACTTTCAGCTACCTTTGCCTAGGTATTTAAACAGAAAATGGAAAAGCCACCATTTTAGTTAAATGTGTACTTTCAATAGAGAAAAAGGGAAGACAACCACAATTGGAATTTTGCTGACAAAACAGTAATTTTAGCATAAATTGAACAGCATTTTAAAAAAAATCTCTGAAACAATCATTCCAACTGAATAAAGGAAATGCAGACCTGGTTCTCAGAGGGAGAGAACTTCGCTTTTAAAAAGTCCTAGTTTAATTCTATCAGTTACTATTATAACAGACTGCAAACACCTGGATGAGGTTGCTATTCAGATTCACTTGGCTTTTTGCATGTCTGTTTTTAAAAGGATTTTATTTGTTCAGCTTTTATTTGTTTTTTGTATTTAAGCAAATAAACACCTGGTGTTTTCCAAGAGCGTTTTGACTCTGGGTTACTCCCAAGAAAAGCAGGAAATAAGCTTGCCCATAAGCCCAGATAAAAACAAAGGGCCTGCACCATTCCACACATCTGGTGACCAGACAAGCTCACTAAATCTCAGCTGGGATGCAAGTTCCTCAAGAGCAGGAAACTATGTTAGACCCCATGTAACCCCAGAGTGAAGGCGGATATGGGTTGGATGCATAACATATGTCAATTAATTGAAAGAGGGAAAAACAAAGCCATGCGCTGATTGGCAACAGTGACCTCCACCTGATGTGGCACCATGTGGTTTTGGTGTTAAATATCACTCTCGGGTAGTATGGAACTTTCATTCATTACCACTGGGAGTACAGATGGGGACCACCATTCTGGAAAAGCAATTTGGCAATGTGTAAGCAGAGTCTTAAAGATCTAAACACAAAGATATTCACTGCAATCTTATTCATAATATTTTAAAATAAGAAACAAATGTCTAATGATAGAGGACCAGGTAAGCATAGTACAATAGCTCCCTTGGAAGGACTATTATATTGATAGTTATTAAAGATAGTATCTCCTCTCATCTCCCTTTCTTTCTTCAATATTGAATTCCTACAGTGTCCCAGGCACTGTTCTAGGCTTTTGGCATATGACAAAGGAAAAAAAAATGTGAAGATGCTATTCTGGCAGGGTTTACATTGTAGGAGGAGGGAAGTAGGAGCAGGAAACAGAGACTATAGCTTAAGTTAGAAGGCTGTCAGTGCTGTATAAAACAAAAGAGTAAGGTAGGAGGTGGGGGTCAGGTGACGGTGGGGTGAGCTTTCAAATAGGATGGTCAGTGCAAGTATTATCCATTGGGAAAGTCTGAGATGAGGCTGGAAGCCAGGCAATTATCTGTGGCTTAAAGACTATGTGATAGTATGGAAAATGCTAGTATTAAGGGAAAAGCTGGGTGCAAAAACTACGTATTGAGGGAAAAAAATGGGAAAGAATTAGTAAACGCAGCAACGATAGTTTGAAGCGTAGGATTTTGGATGATGCTTTTTTTCTTCTTTCCACTTTTGATTTTCCTATTTATCATTACTGAGCGTATCTTAACGTTAAAAAAATCCATGAGCTTGAAAGAGAAGTAGGCCTAAGCACTAGGGGCCCACCGCCCGCCCCGCCCACCGCCCGCCCCGCCCACCGCCCGCCCGCCCACCGCCCGCCCGCCCACCGCCCGCCCCGCCCACCGCCCGCCCCGCCCACCGCCCGGGGCCAGCAGAGGGCGCGCGCCCTCCACTCGGCGCTCCGCAGCCCCGCGAGTTCCCACAGGGCCTCGCGCGCCATGGGCTGTGCGAAGAGCAAAGAGACGTGTTGGGCTGCCCGGCGGCAGCAGGAGGCCGTGGGCCCGAGCTGCAGGGCCCACCGTTCCTCAGGTACGACCGCTGGCCAGAGAGGGCGCCCCGCGACGGCCCGCGCCGCCCCGCGAGGGTTGGGCTGCAGCGCCCGGAGCCCTCGGCCTGCGCCTCGCCGGCGTCGCGGCCCGACGTGCGGCAGGGGCATCCCTAGCCGGCGAGGCCCGCCCGGCCTGGGCCCTGGGGGTGCCCTGCGGCGGGGAAGGACCCCTGCCCCCGGGGACCCGCAGCTGGAGGCCGGCCGACGGGCTGCCCCGGCCGAGGCTCACGACTGGCCTGAGTCTGGTCACCGGCCGGCGGGTGACCCGTGTTCCAGCACCGTGGTTCAGAGGCAGTGTTAGCGGGGAGGGGCCGCACGGTCCGCGCCCACCTTCACCTCCCGGAAGCCAGGCCCCCGAGCTGAGGGTGGCGGAACCCCAAGTCAGGCGTAAGCGCCAGAGGGCACTTTAGGCCTGTTTAACTGGGGGTTCTGACCGGGGTGGGGCCCGTGTACCCCCTTGCCCACACGCCCCCTCCTGTGCCAGCAACAATCTTGTCAGACACATCTCTTCTCTGGTCCCCCACTTGCCCAGCAGGGTGAGCAGTGGGGGATAGGCTGCCGAGAAACCCAAGAAAAGACTCAGAGACAGTCAACAAGACATATGGGTTTATCGGGAGCTGTTTACAGAAAAGGTCCAGTGGCCATGGCTGGACAGTAATGTGGACTGGCTATGGACCCCTGAGAGAAGCTTGCTTAAGTAGGCAGAGGAGCAAAGGCTGCATGCTTGCCACAGGGGACTGTCCCTGTATGACCTGTGTTCCAAGGACTGGAGACCCCCCTCTTGTTCCCTCTGACCTCGAGGGTCTTGGTGCTCTACCCCGAGAAAGCAGCTGGGTTGGCCAAGCCCAGGACTGTCGTGATCGTGAATGCTGGCATTAGGCTCAGACAAGGGGCCTCAAGGACACATGGTTTAAAGGGACGTGCCAGCCAGTGACCCTGCACTCCACCCCACAGTGTCCACGTTGCGCCACTCTGTCATGGTTTCCCTCCAGCCAGACACAGAGAGGAGCGCTGTAGTCAGACCACAACAGCAGTAGAGAGCACAACATGAAAATAAAAGCAGCAGTGAAAAGGCAGGGACACCAAAGCAAGCATGTCCCCCCTCTCAGGCGGAGGGGTAGGAATGGGAAGGTGGGCAGCGCTCCTTCACTCTCACAGGGCTCTCCAGTCAGAGGCGTTGGCAGCTTGGAGACGCCATGGTAACCCCGTGGTTGAAGAGAGGCCGCTCCCTGCATACCCAGCAGTTGGAGTGGTTTTGTGTGTCAGCAATGGTGTGTGCCTAAGTGGTGAAAAGGTTGGCAGACATTGTCCTAAGGATGAAAAGTAAGATATTGAGAGGGAACTAAGACGGAGAGATCATGACCATCCAACAAGACACACCAGAGGGGAGAGGATGAAAGTGCCTTGAGGAACGGGAGGTGTTACTGTGATATCCTGTTTTAAGCCTGTCCCCCAAGGGGTTAAGAGACTATACCAGTGGGGCTCCTACCTGCCAGTCCCAGGGCAAGTGACCATGTGGGTCCCAGTAGGGAGTTCTGTGGCAGAGGAAAAAGCAAGTTGTTCTGAGTGCTCATCTGTGGCTGTAGTTTGTCTCTTTGATGATCCCTTGTCTGTAGACGCACTGTTGTATCAGGTCCTTGTGTCAACATCTCATATGCGTTGGGTTGGGTGCGCCTCTCATGTTCATTCAGTTGACGTATTGCAGTTGCCAGGTGTCTTGTCTAGTGGGCTAGGGTTCTGTCTTCTATCCTCAATTGTTTCAGGAAGCCATTCATTTGTTCTACCAGCCTTGTGGCCATGGGATTGTGTGGCAGGTGAGAATGCCAATGTATGTCCATTTGACCAGCCCGTGTCTGTACCTGATGGCCAGTAAAATGCATACCTTTGTCACTGTTGATGTCTGTGGGAACACCGTATGCAGCACAGAGACGTCCCAGGCCTCATGCTGTGGCCCTTTTGCTGGGGTATGTCTGTAGCAGTCCTGTAGATGTCCCCACACAAGTGAGAGCATGCCGACAGCCATCAGAAAGAGGCAAGGGCCCAATGTAGTCCACTTGCCAGCGTTGTTTCTGGCTATTTGGCCTGTGTCCCAGGGAATGGCCCAGGGTCTCTGCGAGGAGCAAGAAGGGCACACCCGACAGACCTGCACCACACCAGCATAGTGCAGGGGGAGGCCCCAGGCCTTGGCAATAGCCCCTAGGATTCTTTGTCCTTTGTGCCAGTCTTCTTGTGTAGCTGCTCTGCCACTCTTTTGGCTGGCACTTCTTCCAGGAGACGAATCCAAGCTAACTCATCTGCTTGTTGGTTCCCTGGTGGCGTCATCGCCTGATGTGCAGACACATGGTACACTGTTACTGTCATTCCCTGGACCTGCTGCCAGATATCATCCCAGAGTTCTGCCCCCCACAATGGGCGACCATTAATTGTCCACTTTTGTTGTGCCCTCTGTGCCATCCACAGGGTGAGCCCTTTGTAGACCGCCCACCTGTCCATGCACAGACGCATTGGATCGGGTTCACGAGTCAGCACCATCCAGGCAGCTCGCAGTTCAGCCCATTGACTATTGTACCCAGAGCCACAGTCCAACCACACGCTGTCGGTCGAAGGCTGGATGGCTAGTGCTGTCCACTGGGGAGTCGGGAGGGGGGTTGCCCCTTGCAGAGCCATCCATATACCAGGCCTCCACTGGGATTGGTCCTTCTCCTTTCTGTACGTTTGGCAGGGTTTCAGGCATGGGCGCCTCATCTAACAGGGTTGTTTTTTCTGTGGTGTATGTTACTGGCCCCAGGATGGCATGCAGTTCGGCACTGAGGGGACTGTTGGTCAGGGTCCCTCGTCGTTGTAAGTGTGCATGCCATTTTGCCAATGTCTGTGTTTGGGTTGCTCTCGAGTGGGGCTTCTGGAGAGCGTCCTGCAGCCACCTGGCAATGGGCGGATGAGTACGGATTGTGACCAGCAGGGAACAGGTTATGGGCTCCACCTGCTGGAAGGCCAAGTAAGCAGCACACAGTTGTTTGAGGGCATTGTACTGGTTTCCAGCCCCTTTCCACAATGGGGACCAGGAGCCAAGGTTTATTGCCTTGCCTCTGCCAGAGACCCCATCCGAACCTCTCTAGGTTACTGGAAACATCCAGTTCACGCAATTGTCCTTGTGTTAAACACCCAAGGACTGGATTTGTTTCACTGTTATTTGGCTTGGGTGAAGGCCTTCTGCTTGGTGGTCCCCCAGTCCCGGATCATACCCCTTTGCCCCAACTTATAAAGAGGACAGGCACCCCTTATCTTATTTATGACAGTGGCAAGAACCACTTTTGTCTTATCTGACCAGATAACAGCTAAGTATTTGACAGATAATCCAGACCTTTTGTTGTCGTTTACCACCCATCCTTGTTGGCATAGGTGGGTGAGGAGGGATCCGGAGGCTTCCTGAAGGTCTGGAAAAGACTCAGGTTAGCACGACATCAGCAATATCATGAAACAAAGCAAGCTCAGGGGGTTTTGTCCACCGCGCAGTGTTATAGAAGCATGGCTGCAGGGTGGGGTGAGAAGTGATGGAAGTCATTTTGCTCATTTCCACCCCCGACAGCAAAATGTCTTTTGCTCCTGTAGACCAATACATTGTTATTTCTGCATGTGGCCTCCAATCCTGATACCCGAGTCACCTTCACGGTGCTTGAGGTCACTTGGCCTTTCTCCTGGTGGGCGGCGGTGGCGGGGGGGGGGGGGGGGGGGGGGGGAGGGGGCAGCGGCGGTGGGGGTTGCTCTAGGGTGTTCCCAGGCTGTCACTGGGGTCACTGTTAAAGCCACCAGAGCAGCGTTTGGTTATCACTTTTTTCCCAGGGGTGCTTGCTGTTTCCTGGGGCTGCGGCAGCCGCAGCGCAGACTGTTCTCTCTGCGCTGTGCTCAGCCTGGTCGTGCCAGAGAGGAGGGAAGAGAGGGGAGTCCCGGCCACCTGCCGCTCCGGACTCAGCATCCCGCTTTGCTCAGCCGCTGTGCCAGTGCTGGGGTGGCTGGACCATGCCCTCCCCGCACTCTCCCTGTCCTCTGCAGGTACTTTCTGCCTGTGGCTAGACACCCTCCTGGTCTGCCCTCACTTCTGCGCACAAGCTGGAGCCAGCGGCTCTTCTTGTGACTGCTTTACTTTTTTTTTTTTTTAAATTTGCACGTGAGCAGGGCCCGGCCCCGTGGCCGAGTGGTTAAGTTGGCACCCTCTGCTTTGGTGGCCCAGGGTTTCGCTGGTTCGGATCCTGGGCGCTGACATGGCCCAGAAAAAATAAAATCTTAAAAGATAATAATAAATAAATAAATAAATTGGCACCTGAGCTAACATCTGTTGCCAGTATTTTTCTTCTTCTTCTTCTTCTCCCCGAAGCCCCCCCACTATATAGTTGTAGATTCTGGTTGTGAGTGCCTCTGGCTGTGGCATGTGGGATGCCACCTCAGCATGTCCATGCCCAGGATCCGAACTGGTGAAACTCTGGGCTGCCGAACCGGAGCACGGGAACTTAACCACTCAGCCACAGGGCCGGCCCCTGACTGCTTTACTTTTGATATTGAAACTCTTTTATTTTAATCTCAGCCAACTTGACCATACACAAAACTCCTCAGGGTTTTACTCCACAAACCTTCTGTCACTTGTTTTTAAAACTCAGAATTTGTTCCATACTTTTTCTTTTTTTCTTTTCTAGTTCTTTAAGACAAATTTATCTTTCTTAACAAAACAAAGGAAAATATCTCTATTTGTTATACCCTCTTCACTGAAAACATACATTTTACTTTCCTTGTATACAGACTTTCTAGAAATATGTGCTTTCTCATAGAAAATTTTTCACCATGAACAAAGCATGTTCATCAGTAAACTCAAGCATCTTTTAGTTTCTTTGAGATAAGAAACCAAAGGCAGACAAATCTATGTTTAGTAATCAATTTCTAATATTTTATCTTGATTGGAAAATGACCTAGATACTCCACAAATTTTTAT